GGAGCCAAATTAAAAAAAAAAATAAAGGAAGAGAGCATCAGACAAACCCCAGCAGAGGGACATTCTATAAAATAGACCAGCACTCCTCAGTGCTGTCACGGTCATGAAAAAGAAGGAAAGACTGAGAAGCTGTCGCAGATCGCAGGAGACTAAGGAGACATAGTCACTAAATGGAAGGCAGTATCTTTATTTATTTATTTTTTGGCTGCACCTCATGGCTTGGGGGATCTTAGGGATTGAACTTGGGCCACCTCAGTGAAAGCGCTGAGTCCTAACCCACTGGACTGCCAGGGAACTCCTTGGAAGGCAGTACCTTGAATTGGTCGCTGGAACCGAAAGGGGATGTTAGTAGAAAAACTGGTGAAATCCAAATAATGCCTGGAGATCAGTTAATGGCAATGGACCAATGTTGGTTTCTTGGTTGGGACAAATGTATCATTGACATGTAAGATATTAACATTAGGGGAAAATGAGGGAAGAGTATACAGATAGTCTCTGTATTATCATTCCAACTTTTCTGTAAATCTAAATGTATGCTAAAATGAAAAGTTTAGGACTTCCTTGGTGGCACAGTGGTTAAGAATCCTCCTGCCAATGCAGGGGACACGGCTTCGAGCTCTGGTCCGGGAAGATCCCACATGCCGCGGAGCAACTAAGCCCGTGCACCACAACTACTGAGCCTGTGCTCTAGAGCCTGCAAGCCACAACTACTGAGCCCACACGCCTAGAGCCGGTGCTCTGCAACAAAAGAAGCCACCGCAACGAGAAGCCTTCGCACCACAACGAAGAGTAGCCCCCGCTCGCTGCCACTAGAGAAAGCCCACGCGCAGCAATAAAGACCCAACACTTTTTTTAACTAAAAAAAACTTTAGTTAATAAAAGGAAGGGGTGGGAATTCCCTGATTGCCTAGTGGTTAGGATTCCAGGCTTTCACTGCCGTGGCCCAGGTTCAATTCCTGATTGGGGAACTAAGATCCTGAAAGCCACACAGCTGGGGAAAAAAAAAAAAAAAAAGGAAGGGGTGAAAGGTGTGTGGCAATTATGGGCAATAGAAATTCTGAAATGCAGATGAGCATAAGTTGGAGCGGGAAAGCCTCCTCAGTCAGTATCCATTTGTGGTCTGGTAGCAGTTTCCCAGTTGCTCTCAGAGGGCCTTTGTTTTTTTTAAGATGATTTATTTATTTTATTTATTTTTGACCGCATTGGCTCTTAGTTGCGGCACGCGGGCTCTCTGTTGTGGTGCATAGTCTCTTCTCTAGTTGTGGCACGCGGGCTTAGTTGCCCTGCGGCATGTGGGATCTTAGTTCCCCGACCAGGGGTCGAACCCGCATCCCCTGCATTGGAAGGTGGATTCTTCACCACTGGTCCACCAGGGAAGTCCCCCTCTCAGAGGCTCTTGACTCCACCCTCTAGCTTCTTGGCTCTCTCCTGAGTCATCCTTCCTTTTCCATAGGAAAGGCCCACGTTCTTCACCTACTTTCTGCCTACAGAAATTTTGAAGCCGAGGTCTCTTCATTTTGAGGGATCTCTATCTCTTTTAGGCCAAGCTAGTATGACTCCTTTAAAAAACATGTAGGTTTTCTATGTATCAAATTATAACCCACTCAATTAAACAAGATTCACACCTAGAGATCTGTTCGAGGAAGAGCCCACTCTAATTCAGCTGCAAGTCGGGGTCCTGTCTACAATGTGCTTGAGATTCTTAGAAGCCCTTCTGTCTAGCTGGGAGGGTTTACAGAACGCTGCCTTGTGTCCTTTAGCGCCTGGATGTGAGTATTACAGACACACCCTTGACTTTCTTCACACTGAGAGCACATTTCACTGGTGGGGCTGGATTTGATCATGGCCCAGAGCCCATCTCTTAATCTGAGAACCTTTTGCAAAGCCAGAAAGACTAGGAATGAAAAAGACCTTACTTTCCAGCCCAGCAAGTTCTAGGTTGGAAATATTTTCTCCAAATTCTTCTTGAAAGTACTCCCTGGTACTCTGTCCTGCGAATTCTGGCCACCCCGGCCTTCCCAGACACCCAGCTCTGTCTCTGACCTTGGGGAGTCTGCCCGGGTGGCCCACCTGTGCCACAGCCTGGACACACTCTCTAGGCAGTGACCTGGGGGATCATAGGGCTCACCTTGTTTGTCATCTCTCAGGGGTCACTGTCCTTCATTGCTGATGTCCAATGTCTTGAGATCCATTGCTTCATCTATTTTGCCTAGTTTTTTTTTTTGAATGGGAACCTGTTTGTGTCCCTCCTCCCTTTTGTTATTTTTTAAAATTAATTAATTAATTTATGGCTGCGTTGGGTCTTCGTTGCTGCTCACGGGCTTTCTCTAGTTGCGGGGAGCGGGGGCTACTCTTTGTTGCGGTGCACGGGCTTCTCATCGCGGTGGCTTCTCTTGTTGCGGAGCACGGGCTCTAGGTGCGGGAGCTTCAGTAGCTGTGGCTCACGGGCTCTAGAGCACAGGCTCAGTAGTTGTGGCTCGCAGGCTTAGCTGCTCCACGGCATGTGGGATCTTCCCAGACCAGGGCTCAGACCCGTGTCCCCTGCATTGGCAGGCGGATTCTCAACCACTGAGCCACCAGGGAAGCCCTATTTTGCCTAGTTTTTTAGCTGTTTCAGGTGGGATGGTAAATTTGGTTCCTGTAACTGCACTCTGTGCTGGAAGTGGACACTCTCCAAGTTTCTCTGGAGCTCAGCTACTCTGATGCTTAAGTCGAGGCCTGACCCTCAGCACTCTCTGCACTTTGGCTGCAGAGCTGGGAGCTGCCACCAAGGGGCTGGGCTTTCCGTGGCTAGGCCAGGCTCTCGGCTTGTCATCACCCTTCTGTTGGAGGTTCACCAGAGCTGAACCACGGCCTCAATCGCGACTGTTGCTCCTGCACGTTTGAAACACCAGGCCCTCCAGCCGCTGGTGCGTCCCTTCCTGCTGTGTGATCCCCGCTCACTACGGGGGAAAGTTTTAACCGCTGGACCTTGGCTTTGTGCCCCGGACTGTCCGTGCCCCACGTGCAGCCGTGGCGGGTCCTCACTGCCAGCCAGGCAGTGAGTGAGTCTACCTCAGTCCAGGCAGTCTTGGACCACTCCTGACTTCAACTCCCTGCCTGGGCTCTCCAAGAGGGAGACACTGAGGCAGAGTGTGCCTCTGCGAGGGCTCTGGGGTCGGAACAGCTCCTAGAGGTGCCTGCATCAGGCTGAGACGCCAGGCCTTTGGCTCCTGCATCGACCAGCCGTTGGATGCCAGCCACCACGAGAAGGCTGGCACATGGGGCCAGGGGCAACCCCTGGAGCCTCTGACAGCTGAAGTTGTCCCCTGCAGGCAATGGGACCAGAGTCCCTCCTGGCAAGACGATCGGGGCAGTGTGTCACGTGTGCACCACAGAGAAAAGTCCTAGGAGTGGCAACGGGACAGGAAGAGGCCAGCTAGTGTTCAGAAGAATGACCCGCTGCCCTTGCTGAGGAAGCGTGGTCCTCAGGGGACCTGGGAGAGTGAGAAGGTGGACGGTCGGGCAGCAGAGAGGATGTAGTGAGCATGGTCATCTCTCTGGGACAGAGCTGGGGTAGGGGTTTGGAGGGGAGCCATGGGGGCGTGATGTTCCAGAGCAAAGGTTCAATGAAAGTGGCAACTCCATGGAGGGGACAGGAAAGTGAGGTTCCGGAGGTCCACGCTGTATCAGGAAGTGCGGGGCTGCCAGGCCACCACATGCCAAGCTTCTGTGGAGCGTAGGAGGGGTGGCAGTCCACCTCCTGCTGCCAGAGCCTACCCCTTGGTGGCCCAGGCAGCCCTGCCCTGCAGTCCCTCTGGTCATTTTCTCCCCCCTTCCTCCGCCCCCCCAGAGCTCACTCTCCTGCCCGCTCCCCCTCACACCGTGTCTCCTTTAAAACTCCCCAAAGAACAGTCCTGTAGGGGACACTAGTGGCCTGTGTCTGGATAGGGCAGATGCCTGTGTTGACTCGGGAACACGGAGGCGTCTGAAGCGTTTGGGAGTTCCAGCTCAGGCTCAGGCTGAATGAGACCAAGGCTGTGAGCGAGTCGGGCAGTTGGATCCCTTGGACTGAGGAGGGATCTGGGCCACTTTGGGGCAGCTGGCCTCTCAGATAGCCAGCTGGAGACCCTGGACGCAGGAGGCTAAGGGGACACCCTGCCCCAAACAGGAAGGGGGCGGGGCCCAGTCATACCTCTGGTGCCCCCAGGTAGGGCCGGACGGACTCAGAGCACGAGGCTGGGGCTCCATCACACAACAGCCAGGCCGCCTGCTCTCCTGTCTTTGTTTAGCTCCTAAGAGAAGAGTGGCGCTTTGCAATGGGGGGAGGGCAAAAAGGAAACCAGTCTGGCCTTGAACTGGTCTTAGGTGGTGGTGGTGGTGACAGTCACATGGTCTGACTCTCTACACTTTTGTGCATGTCTGATATTTTCTATAATAAAATGTAAAAAAAAAAAAAAAAAAAAAACCCAAAAACCCTGAATTTACGTTTTCATTGTTTAATTTGCGTGACTTTTCTGGCGAGGCCTCGTTTCTTGTGTAGTAAATCTCCTGTGAACCCCTTGGGTGTCCCAGCATTCCCGTTCTGTACAAGTTCACCTAATACCACTTGTTCCTACTATCAGAAGAGAAACCATTGCTATATTTACTGCACTCATTTTCTACTACCTTGATGTTCACCCTTTGTTTTTCCTGGTCTTTTTCCGGTAGCCAGTTTCAGTTGCCTCGTGGTCTGGCCTCCCTGCTGCGGCTCTGACCTCCTGCCCCAGCAGGTCTGCCTCAAGCCCTTGTTCGCATGAGCCCCTCCCAGCACACATCACTTGTTTAGGAGTTAAGCCCCCCAGTCCTGACACCCTCCCCCGGGGCCAGGCTCCAGCCTCCCCCCACGCCCTCAGCCGCATCACTCAGCCTTTGCTCTCCCCTCCCTGCTCCCGTCCCGCCAGCCTTCTCCGGGGGGCTGCTTTTTCTCTCCCCCCTCGCCCCCAGGCCTGGAAGTGCCACGACCCCTCTTCCTGCTGCAGCCTGCAGCCCCTTCCCCCTGCTCCCCCCAAGAGCCCTGGCTGACGCGTCCATCGCCCATCGGCCGCACCCACCCCCCACCCCAGCCCTCGCCGAGGCGTCGCCGCACCGCTGCATCAGGCCTGAACTCCTGGTGGCCTCGATATCCCCGTGGGCCACCCTTCAGCTCCCTGCCCCTCGGTGCTGACCTCTTCTTCCTGCCAGTGACCTCATCCTCTGCCTCAACGACGCCCTGGACCCTGTCACCTCCAGTAACCCCCCAACCCCACCCCGGCATCTCGGTTCAACACCCGGTTCCCTGGCCATCACCCCTCCCAGCTCACTGCTGACTCCAGCGCCCCAGAGCCCCAGGATGACGTGTCGACACCCTCTCCTCATCTGGTTTAGATTCCACAATCACTGCCACCCCTCCCTTGCACGCCCCTTGATTCACATGCCTCTCTCTCAGTAGCTCACCTGGATAAACTCAACCCCTCTGCTTACCCTCACTGGCCTCCCTGCTGTTCCTGAAAGACACAGAATCCCATCACCTCTGGAATAGAGGCCAAAGCCCATAACCAGCTCACAGGCTTAGTCTCTGCCCCCTTCCTCTCCTTCAACTTGTTACTGTTCTTCCTCATGCACCTGCCCTTCCCTGGCCCAGGGTTTCTGCCCACACTCCTCCCACTGTGGCCTCAGGACCTTTGCACGGGTTGCTTCCCCCAGTACTGTTCAGTCTCAGTAGCCCTCCACTGCTTGTCTCCTCCCAGCTTTTCCCCTTCCTGCTCTCATCGTCCAAGCTTTCACTGGTTCGCCTCTGTTTCCTGGGCTGGACTGTGGGCCCTAGGAGCACAGAGATCAGTGTCTGCTGCCCCTGCTTCAGAGCACAGATTGATGTTCAATATAGATTAGGGGGGTGAAGGCAGAACTGGTTCCAGATATGCCCACTGGGGCAGAGAGTAGGGCAGAGGGGGGTGAGACGGTGACCACGGGCCCAGGGGTGGGCACACACAGGGCTCCTGGCTCTGCGGGGGACACGGTGCTGGGGATACAACACTGGGAGTCTCCGCTTAAAGTCTGGCTCTTCAGTAACATGAGACCTGCCAGGCCTGGAAGTGGCACACACGGAAGCAGAGGAAGGTGGAGGAACATAGAACCAACACCAGATCCTTCCCATTCGACATGGATAAGGGGCTGGGCCCAGCTGCTGCAGTGTGAACCTGGGCAGGGTGGGGCTGGTGGACAGAGACCCTGAGGCCAAGAGGCTCCTCGGGGTATGGTCCCTGCATGGGCCTCGAGTGCCGCAGTGCCCCGCAACCCACTGGGTCCGCCAGAGGCCAAAGTGGCCTTGCCTTGGGACCCACTCCCCTCTCCTGCAACAAAGCCCCCTATACCTCAGCTCTCGGTGGGAGAGACTCAGGGTGGCCTCCGGTGCAAGGGGGCTGAAACTTTCCAAAGGGGTTAGTATCTCCAGCTGTCCTTTCCCAGCCTCTCCTAGCTGGACCCCACCATGGGGCACAATTGTTAGGGGAAACACTGATTGAAACCGCCTGCCCTGGCCAGGCAAAGACAGTAACAGTTTGCATGAGTTATTTTACGACAGGAGATCCTGGTAAGGAACACGGAACTAACAAGCCACCACCAACCGGAAGAATACAGGAAAAGTCAAAAGGAGAGAGGAGACGCCAGTCCACATGTCCTACCAACCTCCCAGAATCCTCCTCGCTGGAACCCATCTTGGCTGAGCGGTTGCACGTGCCACCAGAAAGTTCCCTGAGTCAGAATGATCGGCCAGAAACAACCCAGAAAGTAATCCCATCACCATAAAACCCGAGACTGCGAGCCACGTGGCAGAGCCGTCCTCCTGGGGTCCCTTACCCGCCTGCTCCGCGCCTGGGCGCCCCTTCCCAATAAAGTCTCTTGCTCTGTCAGCACGTGTGTCTCGTCGGAAAGTTCATTTCTGAATGTTAGACAAGAGCCCGCTCTCAGGCCCTGGGAGGGGTCTCCCTTCCTGCAACACAGTGACCTCGACCTCAGGGTGCTTGAAAGGAGGCGGGGTGGAGAGGACTAAGTAATTGCTTCCGAGCCGCATGTGTGCTCCACAACCTGGCCTTTTCGGACTGATGGCCAAGGCCTAGGCCCAGCTGCCCCTCCCCGCTGGGCGCCCCGAGGGGCTGCAGGCTCTACCCTGAACGAGTGCGAGCGCGAGGGCGGCCTAAATGATCCCCTTGGGAGCGCCCGGCCCATAGGACACATGTGTCGGTGCTCTGACGCCCGGTCGCTCAAGAGTGTTGGGAGCCTCGGGGACGGGGAAATTGACAGACAGGCAGGGTCTGGGACAGCGAGCCAGGAATGGAAGAATCGAGAAGCTGGATGAAGGAACAGAAATGAGGGAAAAGCGAAGGGCGATGGAGGAGTGGGACTGAGGAAACAGGTGCAGAGGGAGGGACAAAGGACAGGGTAGGGGAGTGGAAGAATGAGGGAAGGGGTGGAGGAGCAAAAGTACACGGACAGAGCGACAGGGCCACTGGGATAACAGAGGGGGACAGGGACGTGGTCCGAGAGCAGTACTGGGGCGGATTGTTCGGGAGGCGGGGAGCCCAGGGTGAAGGGAGTGCGCCTGGCCCGTCCCGCTGGCGCCCCGAGGGTTAGCCCGGTAATTAGGCCTCGGTCCAGATGGGCCCCCCAGTCCCGCAATAAAAATGCTAATTGGGCCCGCGCCTCCGGCTGCGCCTCTGCCTGGCCCCCCTGGGAGGGGGCAGGGACTAGCGGCTCGGCCGAGGGGGATCCCCGTCCCCGCCCCCACTGCGGGCCCCGCCGGCTGCGGCTCTGCGATAAGGGGCCAGCCGCGCCCCGCCCCTTGGGAGCAACTGCCACGCAAGATGAATATCCCGCCACTGCCGCGGCCTGGGCCGCCGCCACAAAGCGGGCCTGTGGTCTCCGCCGCGGCCCCGCGCCGGGCTGGCTCGCTCACAGCCCCGCTCACTCGGCACCTGGGCTGAGATGCGGAAGGCACGGGAGAGCCGGGCAGGCGGCGGGGCGCTGAGCTCGGCGCGCCCGGCACGCCCCCGAACGCGCGCCCCCGGTGCGGCCCTCCCGCCGCGCGCTCCCGGCAGGTGTCCGCGGGACCGCCGTGCCTCCCCGCACAAGGTCACCGCTCTCTGCGCCGGGTGCGCACGCGTTCCCGGCTCGGACGCGCCCGATACTCCCGGAGCCACCCTTGCAACCTTGGTCCCCAGAGACGGAGGGCCGCGTTGGGGAGCGCTCGGAGCGTGGAGACCCGAACCTCCGGGCGGGGGAGGGTGAGGGGACAATGGCGGCGCCGGGCCCTAATTGGGGACATATGTCCTCGCGCGCGGCCATTGTGCGGCCCGGAACTCCCCGCACCCCCGCGCCAGCCATTGGCTGCTGGGCCTGACGTCATGGGGGCTGCAAATCGGGGCGGGCGGCCGGGGGAAGGGTTATCCGCCTGGTTGCGGGGCCGCGTGGGGGAGCTGCAGGCGCGCGGGAGGGCGGAAAACCACCAGTGAAACCGAATTTCTGGAGCAAGGGCAAAGCAGCCCCTCTCCCGCTTCACATCCCGCTCGCTGCATCGCCGCTGCGCTCGACCTCCGCCCCTTGGGAGGAAGGCGGGGGTGGAGGAGGCCTCTCCAGCGGGCGCGGGGTCAGCCCGGGTGACCGAGTGGCAGGGAGCCACTGCGGCACAGGGCGAGCGCAGCGCTTCCACACTGCACTTTCGCTGCCTCAGCATTCGCTGCTTCGCCTCCCGCCTCCCCCACCTGCCCCCGCAGATCCCTCGCCTCCACACCCGAGAGCTAGACTGGCCGGACCATTCTGGGGTCCGCCCTGCGTTCCTCCCCCAAAGATCCCGAGTCCGGGCTCGTGGGTCTCAGGCCTGTTTCCACCTCTCCCCCCACGCCCCACAATGCCGCGGACAGCTGGGCCTCCGTTCCTGGAGTCTCTCGGGGGAACTCCACACAAGCCGGGCCGCGGCATCCCTAAGACCCCTCCCAGGAGATCCTGGCGGGGGCCCCG